CAACTAGGGAGCTTGATCCCACTTCTGAATCGCTCTGTCTCAGGAACGAGTACTTGTTTTGTTCTCAAGTGACCATTTAGCACACCGAGTTAACATCTCTTACCTGGTGTAATTGCAAGAATGCCCTAAGGAAATGACACTATACTTTTCCTGAACAGTAACAGACCTAGCATATGATATGTGAATAAGATACTTTAAGTCCACCCATACTCACAATATTAAAATGTCAAGCCAGATTTGGACTTAAGTACTTGGTCTCATTTTTTTATCTTAGTTGCATAGTTTTGGTCTTAGAGAGTTAGTAAAGTTGATGAAAAAAGCAACCAACTATTGTATTTCAGAAATGATGCTTTACTAATCTAAATCCAGTGTTAATAAGCAGGCAAGAGGCAAATGCTGGTCCACTCGTCTCATATGCTGAGATTGTAATGACTCAAAGGGTACTTCCTCCACAAAGCCTAAGTCCCCCTGTCCTGAGTCTTCTTGCTGAGCTCTGTTTTGAAGATCAGTGGATTATTCAATTGCCTTTTTATTGGCAAAGATTAGTTTAAAAAACATATTGACCAAGCAAAGTTTGGCATGTCATGAAGAAGGATCATTGCATCAGAGAGGGTCCTCTAGATGCAGTCAGATGTATCACTGTTCCTGTATCTTGGTCACAGGGAACACTTACGTCTTCAGTTAGTGTTGGGTTGGGATAGCTGCTGAAATCAGGCTAGGCGAAGTTTTCTACTCTGTTTTGCATGCCTGCAAGTGATAGAGAGTTTGTTTCTGGTTGTGTGAATTCCAAGTCCTGACTTTCTTATTTTCTGTTTTTTTGCTTGAATGATAACACTGAGATTGAAACTTTCTGTTACTACTAACTAAAAGTATAATTAATATAGGGCTAATGCTTTGGCAGGGAAAAAAATCCCCAAACCAGATGCTGGTGTTAATTGGACACTGAATTGCTTCAAATCATTCATTAGCCTGTAGTTATATTGTTCCCAATCACCTGCAGTTTCATTTCAGTCAGAAAGTGATAATCTTTTTTTAATTAAGGTGTTATTATAAATTAACCTGTCAATAAATGGTATTAACTTTTTCAGCAACGCAGTTACAAGTGAATGAATTTGTAGCAGTGTTCTTTAGCCAAAAGAGAAATATTGGATTCAGTGCTGAGCTGTTAAACACTAATGAATAATTTATTTAATGAATTTTGTCTTTTTCTGTTCACAATGTGACTGACGAAGCACCAGCCTTCTCCAAATGGTCCATTCTTCAAAATCACTCTGATTTTTGGGGCCTTACAGCTTCGACTTTGCTACTCAGGTTGCTAACTCCTTTGTTTTATTCTGGACTAGATAAATGCATTGCTTGTTAACTTCTCTGATCTGTCTACAAACCATTTTTGTATTACAGGTTTTGGTGGGAATGCGTATTGTTAATTAGTTTTTAAATTCAGTTTCTGTGGAGGCTTAGCATGTGTGTTCTGCTGTAAACCTAACTGTGTAAATGATCATGAAAGGAATGTGTGGTTGCTCAGACCTCAAAGTGAAATAAAAATATGTTGAACTGCACCTTATGTCTGGTCAGATTCAGGTTATTATTCTCATTTAGAAGATCAATAGGGCTTTTCAAAGAAACGTGAACTGTCTTCAAAAGTGTTACTGGAAGAAAATTGGCTTACAATGCACATCTAGTGTGAGGAAATCTGTAATAAATTTCTTTCCAGGATTCATAAATGCTTGTACTAGAGAAGTCCATGGGTCCAGCTGTTTATTATTGAACTGTTGACTGCTGAAGCAGCTATCTTTAAAAGATGCTCTCCATGTGTAGTATCTTTATACCAGATTTAAAAACAAAACAAATGCTATGAAGTATTCCTGATATCCTGTGCTGCAGTGAAAATGAAATTCCAAGTCCCTGTAGGGGGGGCTATATCAGGATGAGGGGCTGTATTGGGATGGGGCTTATTCTGGAAGTGTTGCAGTGATCTGAAGAGGTAATCCTGGGGCGTATGTGGCGTTGGTGAGGGTCATTACTGCTCTTGCTCATGGGCCACTGCTGCTGCGTTTCAAGGTTATATGCTTCTGCTGCTGGCTTGCCCCGTACGCTGCAGTAATCTGGTTTGCAGGAAAGTACTTGCCATTTTAAGAATTTGTTTTGTGTTTATTTTCCTCTTTGTCATCTTCTGACATGTGCACATGATTTAAAATAGCACTGTCCTTACTACCTTGCCTGCTTCTTGAAAACTATCAAATCCACTTCTGTTGGAAGATATTTTGTTGTGTCTTTTTATTTCCTATCCTCTATTAGTTAAGTTTGGAGGCTATTACTGAGGTCTGAGGAGGTGTTTTTGCTTTCTAAGCATGAAGGAGAGGAACACATGCAGGAGCTCATGTATAGTCCTGGACAGAGATGGGAGAAAAAGGCCTTTGGTATTAATTGCTGGACCTCTGCTGGGAGCAGTTGTAGGACCAAGGTCAAAACATTTCAAGTGCAAATACAGTTTGCTTAGTCCCTGAACAGAGTTTGTTTGGCTTACCTGGTCTGTCATAGACAATAGCTTTTAACTGGCCTTCAAAATCAATTGGAGTGATAATGTTTATGGCACGCTAGCTTTTACTGAAAGTCTCTGTCCTGTAGGAAATCAGGACTCAGGTCCTGAACACCCGTGCTTTGAGCAGTAGTCAATTATTTGATATCTGGCTTTTTTCCTGCTAACTATTTCCATGACGTTATATGTGTTGTTACCCACAGGCATATTGGAATGCTGAAGTGGAATTTTTTTTTAATTGCTATTTTTGATTGATTTCAGAGGGCAAGGGGGGGTGGGGTGGTGTGAGGTTCTATTAGTGAACATAAAAAAAATGCAACGAGCCAAAACCAGAAAAAACCCAAGCCGCAAGGCCCTGAACAGTGTGATTTAGTTACATTTATTCTGCCTTTGCAAAATACAGTAATCACTTTTAAATTCTTATTTCCTGTCTGAATTAATTGCATTTTGTACTTGAATGTGTGTTCTTCCAAATTATTCTCCTGTTAATGGACTTCCTGCTTAACTGCATTTTTTCTTCCGTGCCCTTCATAGTAATGTAATTTATCTCCTGTTCCCTACTTTTTGCGTATTACCCCACACTTCATATGTTTCAGCAACGCTTTGAACTCCCTGAGTTCATTACAGGTACCAAAGGCTGTTGATTTTCTGTCAGCTGGCAGTTTCACCTATTTTAAGGAGGACTAGGCAAATTCTACGTTACTGCGTGCAGTGCGGGCAGGAGAAGAACTAATGCTGCTCAGGGGCTTCTGAAGGGTCTGTACCCTGGAGGAAAGCATGGAGAAAATGTAGATTAAATATTTATTTTTCTACCTCCCTAACAGTGCTGTGACTCACCAGGAGGCAAAAATAGAAGTTGATTTTCCTTCAGCCTCTTGCAGAGACTGTCTATACATTTTGCTTAGGTTGTTCAATGGTAAGTAATAAATTAAAGGTTGATTGTTGTGGGGTTTCATCCTAAGTGGAGGAAGCTGATCTCAGCTCAAAAAAGCAGAGAGCAGGCTATCTTCTCAAGGAGGTACAGGGGAGATTCTTTGCTAGATTTTGTGCTCAGAAGGGAGCAAACCTGGTTGCCTAGTGCTCCAGTAGTCCAAACATTAGAAAGTACCTCACTTGAGACAGTAGTTTTCTGTATCTCTGTGACCAGAAGATAGTACAATTTTAGCATCAGAAAAGAAAAAGAGTTAACGCTTGGTTTTGGCACTTTCAAATCTGAATGAAAAACTGTTTCTTAGCAGCAGGCACGGTTTTCCATGCTTTGTGGAGTTAGCTGTGTGTTCGTCTGCCATCAGCCCCTTACTCATTTCTCTGTTGCTGTTGACAGGCCAATTGTATGATTCTTCACTTCTGATTTTAATTTTCAGATGTTTAGCTTGTCTACAGATTTTAATCTTGAAAACCAAAATCTGTTCGGCAGGAGTGCTTGGGTGTACTTTGAACTGCATATGTCTCAATAAAGGTCTGTGGGTTTGGTGGATAGATATGTTTTGGCCATTCATGATGGATAAACCTGCCACTCTGGAGTTAACTAAATGAATAGAAATTCTCTGAGAGACAGATACAACAGGCAAATGCCTATTCTGAGCTTGCTCATTATGCCAGACAACAAAAATGTTGTGAAGCTACATAACACTTCCATTGCGATTAGTTTTATTACTTATTCATGTTCTGCAAAATAAACACATTTAGATGGCTGACCATGAAAAGCATTTCAAGAAGGGATGGTCTTTAAGCATCGGCAAAGACGTAATTAAGCTGAATATTGCAAAGAGCTTCACAGCTGTGAGTACAGTTAATCAATGAAATGGGTTCTTGAAAAAAGTCAGTGATGTTCCACACCAGCTTTCAGTCCTATATTTTTGGGTCCAAGAATAATAGAATTAATACCATGCTGAAGGTGGTGGAGACCAGCCTTCGAAACCTCAATGTGGACAGTAACCATTCATTCACCCACTGCCTCTGAAACCTTTTGAGGAGCTGCTGTGCTGTAATCCTGCTGGGAACAGGGATGGAGCGGTTTATTTCGCAAGATGAGATGCTTCTGTGTCATTTATAGGAAGAAGGATTGCTAATAAGTTGGTGATGGTGTGTTCAGAATTGACATAGTGCACAGTGGCATGGCAGTCACGGTACAAACCCTTGGGCTCTTCCTTAGTAAGAGGAAATGCAGTTTTCCACAAGAAAAAATTCTATGCTACTGTGTTTCAGCTACAAATCCATTGTTTTTTTCAAAGGCTTCACTGTGAGCCTATAGTGAATGTTTTAGCCGTAGTTATGCACCCTAATTCCTTGATATCCTGGTTTTACAAACGCTGGTTTTGTGGCAGCAAATTGATCAAACTCTGAGGGTTCACTTTCTGCATGGTTGTTAAGATGACAGGGTGAGCCACTAGCATCTGAGCTGGTCTGCTAATTTGGGGTTGTTGGAAAGGGACAGGAGACATCCAACAGGCATCCAGTTGTGCTCAGTTTGGCAGCACATATACTAAAATTGGAATGATACAGAGATAATTAGCATGGGCTCTGTTCAAGGATGACTCACAAATCTGTGAAGTATTCCTTATTTTAGGGAAATGGTCACAGCACCAAGCCTGTCATAGTTCAAGGATGACACTCTTAAGTCATTTAGTATTAGGTAGTCCTGCAAGGAGCAGGGCGTTGGAGTCAATGATCCTTATGGGTCCCTTCCAACTTGAGATATTTTATGATTCTGGTTCTTAGGAACAGCAGGAAAATGGAACAAGAAAAAAGTCACATTGGCAGAGCGAGGTATAAGGAATCTGCAAAGTAAAATGGAAAAGAAGGAATCACATAGCAAAAGTAGAGGTTGGAAATACTAGCAGAAATGGTGGATAAAGATATTGAATAAAGGAGGAAATGAAAGGTGAAGAGGAATGCAAGTAAGTGAAAATCAGAGTACCAAATTAAGAGGGGGAGGATGCAGTGTTTTCGTAGTGGTACACTTTATTAAGAAAAAGAAAAAAAGTAGCAGTGATAAAAAGCATCCATCTATAACAGCTGTGCAAACATGCAAAACCCACTATTGAGAAAATTCCTACAGTGCATATTGGCAGATGCTTCACTTGGAGTGCTTTATGTAAGCTATAGGCCTAGTGTATCTTACTTACTGGCCCTTCCTTTTTAAAGATAGCTGAGGTGCCAGTGGTCTGACAAGGTGAGGATGATGGACTTGGAAATCCTCTCTCCCACTCTATATTACTATTAACATGTAGGAAAGCTTGTAGTGTAGAGTGGTAACAAACCTTTAACATTAGATGCAAGACGGATGCTAAATACATCTCTGTGTGTAAATTTGAGTGGCTTCACACCCCTACTCCTCCCAGGTGTGACATTTATAAGCATTTTTGATTCGGTAGATATTATGGCTGTTATTTTGATTTCTCAGACTCCAAAGCCTGACGCTGTTAGGCTCTTCTCCACAAAGGTGACGACCAGAAAAACCTGTTACAAATAAAAGTTATATTTTGTTATTTAAACCATGTATGCAATTAAAAAAAAGAAAAAATAAAAATGTGAATAGAGAAGAGCCATGTTTCTGGGTACTCATGGTAAAGTGGAAAATCCTGACCTGTGTGAGATGTAGCTCCACTGCTGGCAACATTATGAATCAGGACATAGGAAAAGTGTGTTATATCTTCAACTTTTCAGTTGATGTGTAACTACTTACACCCAACTTCTCACCTCTGTTGGACTCTTACCTTGAGTAAAATAAAGAAATAGAGTGATTGTGTTATTATCTTGAGGAATTATGATGCTTCCAAAGAAGTGTTTGATTTGACAGGTATACAGTGCTACAGTAACATTCTCAGTGACAAGTCCTGTTCATTGCCAGGGAAAGCACTTGAAAGTTAAAATCTGTGGTGTTTCAGAGAGTAAGATGTCTTTGTGCTGTTTGAAATTCAGTGGATTTTGGTGACTAAGTTAGCTTTTGAAATTTCTGACCCTTAGACTCACAGACAAAGCTGTAAATGTCCACTTGCAATTCTTGGTTTGTGCTGTCACCCAGCCTCCTTTTCATGTTTTTGAACAATCATCCTATATTGAACCAGACCTAAATATCCCTAGATAGATTACGTCTATCAGCTGTATTAGAATTAATGTAGATTAACACAGATTAGCAAAATGGTGAGTTTATTTTTCTCTGCTATATACTTTCTATTGCATTTGTATTGCTTTCCAAAGTCACCTCTTTGGAGAAGTCTTTGTGTCAGTTCTTTCTGTTTAAATTTGGTAGAATGGTCACTCAGTTAAGCGGTGGTTTAGTCATTTTCTAGTAACAAATTTCTGTGTTTTATATTTATTCCTGAAGGTTAGTCTGTTTTCTTGTGAACTGGATGGGGACTAGAGGCAGTCAACATAATCTTTTCAGCATGCAGCTACTGCTGTGTTGGGTGCCATCCTTGGTAGGCACATATAGGAAAATTCAATCTTATACGCTTATTTATTGGTGCAGAGGATGGTATGCAACCTGGAATGAAACTGGCCTATGGCTGGGGGGGGGGCATCTGCAGAGAAAATGTACGGCAGCATGACAGAGATTGAAAGTGCTGGAGTGGTTATTCCCTGTTTTCCTTCCATTTGAGAGGTAATAGCAGAAAAGAGGACTTACAGGTTTTAACTCAATTGGTTCAAGAAGGGTAAATGGAGTTTAGCATAATAGAACAACTGCTGGATTGCACACATGGGTGGTCCTTCAAGTTGTGAGTCTCTGAATACTGCTTCATTGTTGCACCTCTCTGCTCATTATAACTAAAGGTAAAACAGTTGAAAAGAGAAGTTTCCTTGGTAGGCAACACAGAAAAGTCTTGATCTGAATACAAAACAATTATGACTTTTCCTGGAATTATTCAGTGAGGGATATACTAGAAAGTGGGTATCTCAGAATAAAAATGAACAAATCAAATTTGAACTACTTGGTAGTTGACATTCTTTCAGCTCTTAGACTTTTCCCTTTTACACATCTTCTATCTATAGAATCATAGAATATTTAGGATTGGAAAGGACCTTAAGATCATGTAGTTCTAACCTCCCTTCCCATGGGCAGGGACACCTTGCGCTAGATCATGTCACCCAAGGCTCTGTCCAACCTGGCCTTGAACACTGCCAGGGATGGAGCATTTACCACTTCTCTGGGCAGCCTTTTCCGTGCCTCACCACTCTCACAGTAAAGAACTTCCTCCTTATATCTAACCTGAACTTCCCCTGCTAAAATTTAAACCCATTCCCCCTTGTGCTGTCACTACAGTCCCTAATGAAGAGTCCCTCCCCAGCATGCCTGTAGCCCCTCTTCAGATACTGGAAGGCTGCTATGAGGTCTCCACTCAGCCTTCTCTTCTCCAGGCTGAACAGCCCCAACTTTCTCAGCCTGTCTTCATATGGGAGGTGCTCCAGTCCCCTGATCATCCTCGTGGCCCTCCTCTGGACTTGTTCCAACAGCTCTATGTCTTAATGTCAATTAAGTGGTTTAGCAATCTGTAGTCTAATTTCTACTTTCCATCAGATTGAATGTATATTCTTCAATCTACCTGTCTTCTACTTCAGATAGGAGGAAGGGAATGTTTTGATTGCCTGGGGGTTTTGTTTTGGTTTCCTTTTTTTTTTTCCTTGGTTTATTGTTTTTTTGTATGATTTTTCCTCCTGTTGATTTGTGAGCGGAGGGGTGTTTGAGAAATGGATACCTTAAGCTTTCATCTAACCTCCATATCAAAAACCCACTAGCCCCGGCCATATTTGAAGAGGAAGTAATTAACTTGCAGCAGTCTGTTTAGAATAGGACCAAATAGGGAACTGGCTGATACTGAAAATCACTAATAGGTGATTAAACATTGAATGAGCAAAAATCTGAAAACTGGTCTCCTACCTAGAAAGGCCTTGATGCATTGTTTCCCCTCCAGATTGGCATTTCCTTAAAACAGTCTGGAGGTACAGAGCACATGGAATCAGCACCTCTGCCTGCACAGGAAGAAGATATCTTAATTCTTTGAGGACTGGTTCAGAAACACATATGCACATGACTGTCTTAAGTGTAACTAATTAAAACCATATGAGCCTTTGGTAACATCAGCATGTGTTGCATAAATACCTCAGGTCGAGAAGGTATAAAAATTAAATCTTGGTTCATGAAGGAATAGCTGATAGTTTATTACTCTGCCTTTCAATTTGAAGATATTTCTGCTTATAATTTATAGTTAATATAGTTCTCTGGTGAGCTTTACTTTATCATAGTTTCCAAAATTATGTCCTTAAATTTGCAGTTTTGCTGTAATACAATTGCTGTCTCTTTGTCTTCCTTTGGAGATGCTGTTATTGCGGATTCCACTGAGGATTAAACAGAAAGAAATGAGGTTCCTTGTCTGTTTTTCCAGAAAAGGTGGATTTCCATTGTTATATGATGTTTTCTTTTTTCCACTAAAAAGATAAGTAGATAATGGAATGGCATCATCAATAGCAGGTAGAATAGAAAGACTCTGGAAAAAATTTCCATATCATTTTCTTTAAAATACCTTAGTCCTCTGCTGAATATTTTCAAAAACAAAGTTGGTTGGAGCTGTGTGTGTTCTGACTCTTCTAAATTACCAACTTTCTTGCTTAATAAACTTTAAGGATCACCAAGAATTTAAGCAGAATAATTTTGTCACACTGGGGATGCTGCCAGTTTGGCATATCAGCCCTTTAAGTCCCTGATTACTTCATGATACTCCTTAACACAACATGCCCTGTTCTGTTGTATCTATAAGAAAATCTTGTTTCCAACAGTGTGAGGCCTTTCTGAAATTCCTGCTGTGCTTCATGTGGTTACATAGGGGGCATCTTTTCTCTGGGGTGCTGAGTTATCAGGGAGATTGATCCAGAACTGTCTGTGGGTGTGTGTGCTCTATACTCACCCCTTGACCCAACTGGTCAAACACACCAGAAAATTCCTGGGGTCAATCCTGCAGTGTAAGTGGTGATACTGAGATGGTGTTTTAGTACAGGCATTGTGATAGGAGAAGCATGTTGAGAGGAGTGAATATTAGGTATACAGTGTAAAGAATAAACAAATAAAGAAAAAGCTGGGAAGATACAGAAGCCATAAAGATTAACTATATTTTTAGGTCTTTATCTTGATGAACTTTTATTAATAAAGATGATAGTGAAAGGTATTGTCATAGATAGCACTTTTCTCAAACACAGTATTTCTAAGAGATTTTAATTTAGAATGGCAGTGTCTCTGTCCTAACTTTTAAAATATATTTTTATTATTTTATATATATTTTTAAAAGAGGAACCTTTTCTTTCATTGCTGTCTTGGAATGGAAGATCTTTGCAACAGAGGCTTCTTTCCTGCCAGTGTAGAATGTGAGTACTGCGTGGAGAATGCTCCTCAAACATAAATAATGTATCGATAGGAACTGTAGAACCAAGTAGGTGGGGGACTAGAAAAACTGAGTGTTTGCCAGGCTCTTTTATTATTTATCAAAGCTGGTGAAATCTAGTTGTTCCAGCTTAAGATCCTGACAGATCTCTGTAAAAGACATTCTTTTTATAAGTCATGCTTCTTTAACCAA